TTTGAAAAAAAAATTACCACTTATAGACCTTTTAATTCTATGATTTGTGATATATGTAATTTGGTGAACAATTTTTTAGTTTTGGAGCTATAGACCTTTAAAGCTTTTATATTTAGAGCGTGTGCCAAATTATAGCAAAGTTCTATGGTGGATTGTAATTTTCCTATGGTGGGAACATTTTTACATTTTGCTGTGCCAAACGATATCTTTTTTGATTACATTAAATTTTTACAATTGTCACTAATTTCACAAGAAAATCTGCATTTATTTTAATAAATGAAATACTTTTATTGATTTTTTTATTATTGAAATAAATTACTACAATCACAAATGTATTTTAACTAAAATTATACAATATTTTATTTTTTGTATTTTCAAATTTTTCTTTTCATTTGTCAAAAATTTATATAGCCCTATGAGCTAGTAAAATTTTATTCACCTCATAATATGAGGCTCATATCTATCAAAAATTTTAAAAGGCCCAATTAAGGTATTTTCAGACTACAATACTGAGTATTAACACACTTCAAATTAAAAATATTATGAAAATAATTCGCATTTTCAAAAAATCAATCCGAAAAATACATTTTATGTTTACACTATAATATTTGTAATATTTTTTTATCAAATTTTCAATTATTTATGCACTTTTCGTTCTTATTTTTAATGTATTTTACACTTTTTGTTTGTTTTTTATTGTATTTATAAAATACATACCGAATACGTTTGAAAATAAAAAGTTTTTGAATTGTTTTAAAAAATTTATGAATACGGTCGGTATGCCAAAAAAATCAGTAATGTTTCTGAAAATCAAATTACAAATTATATTTAGACTAGTAAATTGTATTATGATACAAACATTTTTGACAAGTATTAATACTCAGTATTGTAGTCTGAAAATACCTTTAGCAATACTACAATTTTTGTTGTTATTATAATAATATAAAGAAAAAAAAAGAAAAGCAAAAAAAATTGAAGTTGTTAAAGAAGAAGGGATATATTCATGATTTCTTTTGTACATATTCTATTTAATGCGTTTTAAATACATGCCTAAATTCTAATAAATTTGTCATCAGTGAAGGCATGAAAAATGCACCCAAATTCACGCATGTAACTCCACTATAGGAATTGTAATATTTTACTATAATTTGGTATTCTCTTAGGAGATTTAACGAAAACGTGCATTTCATACAATAAATATTAAAAATTACATTAATTTTTTTATTAGATTTTGTAGGTACCTACCTACCTAGTAATATTAAGTCCATTTTAACATTAATAAGAGAAGGAAAAACCAAGACTGCTTAACGGATTTTAAAACACAATGGGTATTTTTCCTCTGCATGAATTTAAATCCAATAAAAATCAGTTAGTTATGTTTTATCTTATTTTATTTTTATCAATATCACGCAAAAAAATTATTTAAATATTGATAATTAAATCGAAATACCATTATTAATGCATTTTTAAATAAATATAGTACACCAATGAAAATTCGCTTGAGAATCATCGAATATTCATTGGTTATAAGAACTCATTTAAATGACGAACTATTTTTCCAAATACGAACACATGCATGCCAATGACACGCTAATGTTAAAATCATGCATGTTTCCCCTAAATATGAACCAGTTCATTATCAGTTCAACCCATGCATTTACTACCCTGCAAAAAGTTACATGACAAAGATGTTGTTCAATCAGAGGTGCAAGTGATGACGAAGTGGTTCGATTTAGGTGAAACATGCATGATTTTAACATTAGCGTGTCATTGGAGATCATGTGTTTATGCGAGAATTTCGAATAATCGAACCAATGCAATTTCAATGATTCGAAAACGATGTTTCATTAATTCAAGCTATTTGTTTTGTATCTATTTTTGGAGGACATTTTAAATATTTTTAAGGAAAATATTATAATAAATTAGGGAAAATACGTGATACAACCAGTAAAAGGTAGAATCAGTAGGGAGAGTTATCAATTTTCTGCCTAGTTATGTCAAATATAGAAGAACTAAAAAGAGAAAAACTTCAAAATATTCAAATGAAAAATCACGAAAAATACCATGAAATGTTTCTTGAACGGCACACGCAAGCAGTATTCCACACTTTTATGTCCGTATTTTGATTTCCAATGGTTTTGCGTTCTTTTTTATTCAAATTATTAAATTTTATTTTTTTCACAAAAATTTTCCGATAATTTTCATTTGATGTTTTGTTTTATATTTTTTAATTTTCTCTTTTGTGACAATTCAAGGCATGTAAAATTGAGAACGTGCTCTTCTACTGATTCTACCTACTAATTCTTATATTATGGGGAAAATATATAAAATAATATTAATAATCAAAAATATTTCTAATAACACATAAATTTCATTTGATTAAAATAACAATCTGAATTAATTTTTGAAGTTTCAAAGAATTTTTTTAACTGCGGAATAGGTTGAATTTTGGAAGGCATTTAGAATGAGTTGTATTAGCACTGTTATTAAAGAAGTCATGAAACTTGCATTCACTTCGCACTACTGCAAAATTTTTTTGCTGGGTACTTTTTTTGCACGTCTTTTTTTGCTGGGTATGTATGTAATACACGATTATCATCACAAACCAACCGTTACTTATATAATAAAATAGTTGTAATTGTTATTGTTTGGGTTTCTGCAATAAATTGACAAGAGTACATACCCAGCAAAAAAATTTTGAAGTTGTTCAAGAAGAAAGGATATTTTCATGATTTCTTTAGTACGTATTCAATTTAATGCGTTTTAAATACATGCCTAAATTCTAATAAATTTGTCATAAGTGAAGGCATGAAAAATTGCACCCAATTCACTCATGTAAATCTACTATAGGAACTGTAATATTTCACTATAATTTGGTATACTCTTAGAATTTAAAGGAAGCGTGCATTTCATACAATAAATTTAAGAATAACATTAATTTTATTAGATTTTTGTATTTAATATTTGTTAAATTAGTAATATCAAGTCCATTTTAACATCTTACTTAATAAGAGAAGGAAAAAACCAAGTTGACTGACTTATTTTAAATTATAATGGGTATTTTTACTTCGAATGAATTTTAATGCAATTCAAAATTTGTTTTATTTTGTTATCATATTTAATTTTTATCAATATCATGCTAAAATATTAATTTAAATATTAATTCGTAATACCTTTAATAATGCATTTTAAAATAAATATAGTGCACCAATGAAAATTCGCTTGAGAATCATCGAATGTTCATTGGTTGTAAGCACTCATTTTAATGCCGAACTATTTTTCCAAATACGAACCCATGCACGCCAATGACACGCTAATGTTGAAATCATGCATGTTTCACCTAAATATGAACCAGTTCATTATCAGTTGAACCCATGCATTTACTACTTTTTTTGCACGTCTTTTTTGCTGGGTAGTTGTATTTCGACAAGAAATCAAAAATATATCGAGAAAAAACATTTAAATATTTGAAATATGAAAAATAAAAATTTATAATACTGTTATTTGTTTGTACAAATATATTCCACTAAAATTAAAAGAATATATGTAGAATAAATTTTTGATTATATACCCAGCAAAAAAATTTTGAAGTTGTTCAAGAAGAAGGGATATTTTCATGATTTCTTTAGTACGTATTCAATTTAATGCGTTCTAAATACATGCCTAAATTCTAATAAATTTGTCATAAGTGAAGGCATGAAAAATTGCACCCAATTCACTCATGTAACTCTACTATAGGAGCTGTAATATATCACTATAATTTGGTATACTCTTAGAATTTAAAGGAAACGTGCATTTCATACAACAAATTTAAAAATAACATTAATTTTATTAGATTTTTGTATTTAATATTTGTTAAATTAGTAATATTAAGTCCATTTGACTGACTGATTTTAAATTATAATGGGTATTTTTACTTCGAATGAATTTTAATGCAATTCAAAATTTGTTTTATTTTGTTATCACATTTAATTATTATCAATATCATGCTAAAATATTAATTTAAATATTAATAATTAATTCGTAATACCTTTAATAATGCATTTTAAAATAAATATAGTGCACCAATGAAAATTCGCTTGAGAATCATCGGATGTTCATTGGTTGTAAGCACTCATTTTAATGCCGAACTATTTTTCCAAATACGAACCCATGCACGCCAATGACACGCTAATGTTAAAATCATGCATGTTTCACCTAAATATGAACCAGTTCATTATCAGTTGAACCCATGCATTTACTACTTTTTTTGCACGCCTTTTTTTGCTGGGTAGAGATGCAATTAAAGAAGTGAAAAATTTGAGAAATAGTTTAAAAGGGTAAAGTATATAAAATTAATGTTTTTTATTCGATATTAGTTAATTTTTGTTGTACATCATCCCCATTTATGAAGATATAAGAATATATCTTCACATCAATTAAAGCTTGAAATCTTTTCTAAAATTTGTTCAATATTTATCAGTACCGTTATTTCGATAGATTTGTGAATTTCATGTTAAATATTACCTAACTTTCAAAATTTTTCTCAGCGATAAAAAAAGTTTTTGTCCGCACAAAAAATAAAAATTTAAAATAACAATTAAAGAGTATTTTTTTTAATAAAACTTATAATGATTACAGTCAAGCATGTAAAATTTATGAGCGTGCCTAAACACAAGCCGACTTTCATATACATATACATATATTCATACATACTGATTTTAACATCCTTTTATATCTCAAATGTAAAATTTTGTGGATTTTCATAATCTCGAGTATTTTCAATTAAAATTTGTTCCGAACTTTTTCGCTTTTATTTTCAACTTATTTTAATTACTATACCTTCATACGCTACACAAAGGTAAAATATTGACATGTTTATTGACATACATACTGATTTTAACATCCTTTTATATCTCAAATGTAAAATTTTGTGGATTTTCATAATCTCGAGTATTTTCAATTAAAATTTGTTCCGAACTTTTTCGCTTTTATTTTCAACTTATTAAAATATTGACATGTTTGGCTTGACGAATGTGTAGTTTATTTAATCGCTAATAAAACATACATTTATTGCAGTGTACATACTTAATAGTTTATTGTCTGAAATTTTTAAAAATCCAGCATGGTTTTATATACATTAGGTATACATTACGTTTTTTGTTCACATAATAAATATTTGTTTTTTAATATCACAACAGAGTTGTTATCCTTCAAAAGATATAAACAAAACGATTCTCGTCCTTCCGCACATACTTAAATGGAAAGCAATATAATAACTGAAAGAACACCAGCCAATAGAAGAACTAGAGATGTATGTAGTAAATAAGAAGAAAAAAACAATTACATTAATTAAAGTTAATATTTTTCAGGCTTTTATCAAACTTTAAAATAAATGAACTAATATTAAAAATGTTATAGCCAACGTAAATTAAACTTAACACATACATATGTACTTATGTACCCAGCAAAAAATAATTGATGTCATAATTTACAAACGACATCTTAATCACATCTAAAAATGCGATTAAATATTTTTCGCTTTCAGTTAAAAGTGAGGAAAGTAATGTAGATAACATATTCGAAGTACATCAAATTTTGGCGAAAAACCAGTGAAATTCAAGCAAGCGTGTCATTGAAAGAATATGGTTCATTTTTGACATCCAAATATCGGATTTTTACAGCTTCTAAAAATAAATTTAGATGTAGTTCAAAGTTGTCAAAAATGAACACCATCCCTCCAAATGCAAACATTTTAGAAGCAGTAAAAATTCGATGTTTGGTTTTTAAAAATAAACCACATTCTTTGTGATTGCTTCTGTAAATTTTATTGGTTTTTCACTAAAGTTTGATGTACTTCAAATATGTTATTTGTAGTGACTCTCTTTCCTCACTATTAGCTAGTTGGGTATTCATTTGTAAGGAAATATTTGGTTTATAAAAGCAAAAAAAATATATATATATATAATCGCATTTTTTGATGTGATTAAGATTTAATCAATAATATACAAACATATATTAAGGATATACAAATAAAAATAAATAAATAAATAAATAATAAAAGTTGGCATAAATAAGTTTTATATGAATAAAAATCCCACCCCAAAATTGTATGAGGATCGGTCCATATTTAACCCTAGTCGCCATATAACTCCTTTTTTATCTATAAGCTAGCTATAGCCAGTGCGCTTTGCTACCCTAAAAGCAATATAAATAAAAAAGCCCACTTAACGATTTTGAAAATTCTAACGATAATTATTTTCCGGATATATAATTTTTTACATATGGGAGATATCACGCAAATTACTGCAAGTTTGGTAAGTTCTCCAAGAGTTAAGATTCATAGTTTCCCAGATATACGAAATTTTGTATTTAATTCATATGGGAGGTGCCAAACCCCCATTGAAATTTCGTCCATTTTTTTCTAAATGTGTACATGAATGTCAAAGTTCTTCATATAAAACACTGAACACCATATAAAATTTAAATATTCTAGCTTAGTTTCTCAGCTGTACAAATTTTTCTATTTAATTCATATGGGGCTTTCAAACACCTTTTAGTTAAAGAAAGAATACATTAAACATACTACTTATTTAAATTAATGATGATAATATAGATTTTTACTTCTGAAACGATAAATATAAAAATATATAGCTGACGTACAAAATATATGTGATTTATTTTATTTATTAAAAAATTATTTGTTTCGAATTTTTATATAGATTTCAGTAAGGAATAAAACAAAATGTTTAAAAGTGTATTGGGAGATATTTGCAATCATTTTATTTTGCCATAACTTGCCCGCTTAATTAAAAACACGCATTATTTAAACATAGTTTTCGCTTAAAAAATATTTTTTCAAAAATATTTTTTTTGGTTCAAATTTTTATAGAAACTTAAATTAAGAATAAAACAAAACGGTTAAAAGTGTTGAGAAGAATATAAAAAATCAAAATTAGACCAATATGTTGGGAAATATTTGCCATCAATTAATTTTAATATATCTTGCCCGTTTAGTTAAAAACTTACACTATTTAAAAATAATGTGACCTGAATTTATTTATAGAACTCAATTAGGAATAAAACAAAAATGGTTAAATTGTTGAGAAAAATATAAAAAATCAAAATGAGACCAATATGTTTGGAAATATTTGCCATAAGTTAATTTTAATATTTCTTGCCCGTTTATTTAAAAATTGACATTATTTAAAAAAATTTGATCTGAATTGGTTTATAGACTTTAATTAAGAATAAAACAAAAATGGTTAAAGTGTTGAGAAAAATATAGAAAATCGATATTATACCAATCTGTTGGGAAACATTTGCCATGAATTAGTTTTAACATAATTTGCCCATTTAGTTAAAAATATACATTTTAAAAAAATATTATCTGATTTTTTTAGAAACTTCAATTACGAATAAAATAAATTGGTTTAAAGTGTTGAGAAAAATATAAAAACCAGAAATTGGACCATAATATTGGGAAATATTTACAATCAATTTATTTTGCCATAACTTGCCCGTTTTATTAAAATATGAATTTTTTAAACATAATTTTCTCTTAAATTTTTTTTTTTCAATAATATTATTTTGTTGGTTCGAATTTCTATAGGATCTTGAATTAAGATAAGATAATGATAAGCCAGACCTATGTGCTTGGGTTAGATAGATAGATATATAGAAAATGTTCGCTATGCTTTCCTTGGCCGAATAATTCGGGTCATTACGGTACGTAGAACCGGCTGTCGGGGAACGTAGTCATCCCAATTTTAACATCACACAATTGGATGCTCCCCCGAGGCATGTCAGGAAGGATCTTCGTATATACGAGGAAAACATATGCAGATATGTGCGGGATCCACAGCATCAGTCCTCGTATTCGGCAGCTTTGAACGACATTCATAGAGACGCCATAAATTCCGCGGTCACAGTATACAGCATGAATGTCGTACTTGGAGGTCGACCACCGCCCATAGCAGACACGGAAGAAAACCTGCCGCGGAAAACAAGAGTAGTTCTGGCACAACTAAGATCGGGATGGAGCAACAGGCTCAATGCCTACTGGTCACGTATAGACCGTGCCGTCCTCAACGAATGTCCTGCATGTGGTCAGGGTCCTCATGATACCCACCACATATTCAACTGCTCAGCCAACCCTACTTCACTCTGTCCAATGGATTTATGGACGCATCCAGTTGAAGTAGCCCAATTTTTAGGCCTGGACATTGATGTAGAACCCCCCAACTAGATTATTGTATAGTTTTAGCTGTTACAACAACAACATATTAATTATATTATCATTAAATAAAACTACATTTTTATAAAATATAAGAAAAATTATATTATTCACGAATTATTTTCATAAAAAAAAAATTAAACATTCGAGTGGAGAATAATTTTGAACTAAAATTCGAAAAATTATTTTAAAATGAACAGAAATGTTTGCATAAATTAATATTTCGTAAATTTTACCATATTTATTCAAAATTCACTTTTTTCAATTTATGTAAATTAATTTTTCCAAGATTACAGTGGACGTCCAATAGTACGTATACTCTTTATTACGAATATCCAATAATACGAATGGCAAAATTGTTGCATTGTCTACTCTATAGTACGAATAATGTCACAATTTTTCTGTTCGATAGTACGAATAACGCATTTTTTATGGGAATTTTGGTTTTATTTACCTTAAGCTCAGTAATTTTGAAGTTTTTTTTGTATTTATTACAAGTGTTTTGTATTTTTAAAAATCCTATACACACAATTTACTGCATGTATATTTACAAATCAACAATTATTTAGTGTTATTAATTTATTTTATTGGAATTTTGATGACCCAAGAGAATAAATTAAATTGGATGATAACGCCAATGAGGAAAGTATTTTATTAGTTCCCGACAATAACTCTGCTGAGAACAATATTGAAGCCTCAAAAGCGCTGTTATTGAAAAAGCCGTAAGAATCATTTTACAATGTAATAAACATCGATGTTAAATGATGGATTTTTTAATAAGTAAAATGATATTTATATACATATGTATGTATGAACTGTTAATTTTGAAAGTAGTGTGACTCCACATTCCAAACAATGGGTTTAACGATAACTATTCTAATTTTTAAGAGAAAATTATAAATTAGAGAATTATGGTATATTCCATTCAAGTTTCTAATAAAAGTTTTATGTAATCTGAACATTTTAATACATTTTAGAACACATATGTAAATTGCAAATTGTCTTTGGCACACATCTTTTTAAAAACATTAAAATTTAAAACCTTCTACATATATCTCATTTCAACCATTGGACTCACGATACTTTCAAAATTAACAATTCATATACGTAAATATGTCCCTTTTATGCCTGTTTATGTACAAGAAATTTATTTAAAATAATACACATTTATTATATTTTGTTCCGTTATGTAATTTTTCATGAAAAATAAAACAAAAATAAATAAAATCCAATATTTTATTTGCATTATTTGAATTTAAACATACAAAATGTGTTGTTCAATAATACGAATTTTTCGGTATTACGAAAGGGCCTGACACTATATAATTCGTACTAGTGGACGTCCACTGTATTTTGCATTATACTAAAATATTTCGTACAATTTCGTATACACTATCGGACAAAATAAAGTGCTAAAGTGCTAATTAGGGTGGGTTGAAAAAAAAGTTGAGTCAGTCACCCCCTACGATTAAAGATATGTTAATAACATTTCCAAAAATATAAAAAATATTTTTTGCCACGCCTAGAAATACCGCCCTTTTTGTTTTTTATATATAACGTGGCCATTTTAAGTCCGATCGTAACATATAATATATCAATATTTATGGCTTGACTGTAGCTATATTTCACTCTTCACGTCATATTCTATGTGTGACTTCTGATATCACGGATCCTTCCCCAAAATCAAAAATTGTGGCTATACTGGAATAAAGTATATTTAATTATATGAGCTATTAGCTTCTAAAATGCTCACTTTTGTGCATAAACAGCTATTTTACAGGTATTTAAAAATACATGTATAGTTCTAACTACAAACAATTAATTTGCTAGGGATATGGTCGAAAACTATTTTTTCAAATTAATTTACAATACAAAAATTTCATTCTGCCCCCTATCTTAACACAAGGAAGATAATTTTATTCAGCAATTAATTTTATTAATTAATAACAAAATCACGTAGGTACATAAAAACTAAACATTTTATTTTATAAAAATCGATGAAAAATTAAAGAGTTTATAAAAATATTTCATGTTTTTACCATACAATTACTTGCATGTTTCTTGTTTTTT